CATTATGTCAGGAATGAATAAGGGTGTGTTCCAATAAAACTTTATTAAAAAAAAATAGCTGGTGGGCTCAATTTGGCCCTCAGCCTGCAATTTGCTATAAGTTCCTTAAAGGGAGAGGTAAATATGCTGCCTAGATGCTAGACACTGCGGTAGGTGCTAGTGATGATGAAGAAATATTAATCTTCACCTTTGATGTCTGCACCACCTTTCCAGAGGGCTAGTTTTGTGTGCATGGTACTATCTTGGGCAATAGTTTTCAGATGGCCTTGAATGACTTAGACTCCTAGAAAGTTCTGTTTTATGTGACTTCTACATTGATTTCCTATTTTCCCTTATTGTTGCCCTCAGTCTTCTGTCCTCACCCAGTGACTTTTTGAATCTGTTACTGTGCGGTAGGTATGAGCTGTAGAGAGATAGCAGAGAACTTTGGGATAAGATAATTCTCTGAGCTCTTGAGGACTTTATTGAAAGCTTGGGCTGGGTGCTGTGTCTCACACCTATAATTATACTTTGGGAGGCTGAGGCAGGAGGATTGCTTAAGGCCAGCAGCTTAAGATCAGCCTGGGCAACAAAGTAAAACTCTATCTCTCCAAAAAACAAACAAACAAAAAATTTACTTGCTCTTTCCCCAGATCTTTGAGTGTTAACTGTGTGGTAGACCCTGGGTATTTACAGAAAAATCTGTTCTTTTTTTTTGAGACAGAATCTCAAGTTGTCACCCTCAGTAGAGTATTGTGGCATCACAGCTCACAGCCACCTCAAACTCTTGGGCTTAAGTGATTCTCTTGCCTCAGCCTCCCAAGTAGCTGGGACTACAGGTGCCTGCCACAGTGCCCTGAGGTGCTGATAGGGGTGGTTCCTAGAGAGGCCTGTCTCTTTGGCTTGTAGATGGCCTCCATGTCGACGTGTTCTCGCTAGCTTTCTGTGTGCAGCCAAACTGCAACAAAAAATAGCCGGGTGTTGTGGCGGGTGCCTGGGGTCCCAGCTACTCAGAAGGCTGAGGCAAGAGAATCAATCGCCTAAGCCTAAGAACTAGAGGTTGCCGTGAGCTGTGATGCCACAGCACTCTACTGAGGTTGACAAAGTAAGATTCTGTCTCTAAAAAAACAAACAACAAAAAATCCCATTAAAAAGTGGACAAAGGACATGAACAGACATTTCTCAAAGGAAGACATACAAATAGCCAGTAGGTACAAGAAAAGATAATGGCTAATGTTTGTTGTAGACTGAGTTGAGAACTTTGCATGTATCTTCTCACAATAACGCCTCTCAATTGTTGAAATTTTGGAACATGAACAAACGTGTAAATAGTCTGAACTGTTTTGTAGATACGAATTTATAACTCATCTTTTTTTGTTTGTTTGTTTTGTTTTGTTTTTTTGGCCAGGGATGGGTTTGAACCCACCACCTCTGGCATATGGGGCCCGCACCCTACTCCTTGAGCCACAGGCACCACCCATAACTCATCTTTTAATGTAGCATGTTTGGACTTTGGCAGGGTCATCACATACTCCTTTGATCTAAATTGTTGGACGCTATTTTATACCTTCTGGTCGCCTCTGGCTTTTCCTGTGGCAGGTTTCAGGGAGCCAATGTCCACAAAGTTCACTGCAGGGCTTCTGTGCAGTTAATACTGAATAAATGTGAGCTTCTGTTCCTAACAGTACTGAGCACCAGTCCTGGTGCTTTATGCAAATAATGTCAGGCTACCTGTCTGTCTTCAAGTAACCTGAGGTATTTGTGTAAATATTTTCCTAACAAATATAACTAAGGTTCTTGTCACTTACATAGTCACCATATAAAGTAAATGCACACAAATTCTGGATATAGAAAGTGGGCAGGAGTGGTTAGGAAGAGAGAGGTTAGGGAGTATCTCCAGGAAGTCGTTAGTAAAATTTGAAGATCTAAGGTTGTATTTAAAATGAGTCATACAGCAGCACGTTGGCTCACACCTGTAATCCTAGCACTCTGGGAGGCCGAGGTCAAGGCCGGTAGATTTCTTGAGGTCAGGAGTTGGAGACCAAACTGAGCAACAGTGAGACCCCATTTCTACTAAAAAATAGAAGAACTAGCCAGGCATCGTGGGAGGCACCTATAGTCCCAGGTACATGGGAAATTGAGGGTAGAGGATCACTTAAACCTAAGAGTTTGAGGTTACTGTGTGCTATGATGCCATGGCACTCTACCCAGGATGACAGAGTGAGACATTGTCTCAAAATAAAAAATGCAATGCAATAAAATAAAAAATATCAGAAAATTATCATCAGCAGAAACCTTAGGACAATGGTTTTCCAACTTTGCTAGCAATACCCAGTAAGAAATTCAATTGTTGGCTCGGCGCCTATAGCTCAACCAGCTAAGGCGCCAGCCACGTACACCTAAGGTGGCGGGTTCAAATCCCCAGCCCGGACCTGCCAAACAACAATGACGGCTGCAACCAAAAAATAGCC